ATGTATTAGGACTGAAAAGAAGACCACCTCGTGGCGAAACGGTTTTCCTTTAATAAATTCCTGAACTGTACATAAGTGTCTTTTTCCACATCTTGTCGGTATCTCCATACCATTTCCTAATTCCTCCAGTGTGCACTCTCAGTGCAATCATACCTCAGTGTGCACTCAGTAGAAAAATACCTACCAGTGTGCCACTCTCAGTAGCAACTACCTACCTGTGTGCATTTCCCAGTAGCCAAACATACTCCAGTGTGCACTATACAATATTATTATTATTATAATCAAAGGTGGGTGTAGTACTAACCCGCGAGGATTATACAGCAAATGGGGGGATGTGGAAGGCATTTCAGGCTTAATTCGGAGAACTGGATCCACGATCCAATTCACTAAATCAAGAGCCCCTCACCAACATCAAGGGAACCTTCTTGGGGGTGAACTCTAGTTGCTAACATACTCCTCATGTGCACTCTCAGTAGCCTATACATACTACAAGTGTGAAATATATGTGCTAATTACTTCCAGTGTGCAATTCTCAGTTGCAACATACCTCCAGTTGCAATCTCTTAGCTCAATAATACATCAGTGTTGTGCACTCTCAGTTGACAAACATACCTCCAGTGTTGCAATTCAGTAGCAAAAACATACATCCAGCTGTGCAATATCAGTTGAAACATACCTCCAGTGTGTGCACTACTCTGTAGCAAACATACCTCCCCAGTGTGCAATATCAGTAGCTAACATACCTCCAGTGTGAACTCTCTGTAGCAAACTTAACTCCAGTTGTGCACTCTCTGTAGCAATCATACTTCCAGTGTGAACTCTCAGTAGCAAAAAACATACATCCAGTGAACACTCTCAGTAGCAAACATCCTCCAGTGTGAACTCAGTAGAAACATACTACTGTGTGCACTCTCAGTAGCAAACCTTTCAGTGTGAACTCTCTGTAGAAACATACCTCCAGTGTGCGCTCTCAGTAGCAAAAATTACCTCACAGTGTTGCTCTCTCAGTAGCAAACAGACCTCCTGTGCTGATCAGTTGCAAATTTACACTTCCGTGGTTGCCAATCTCAGTAGCAAAAACTGACCTCCAGTGTGCTCTCAGTAGCGGACCTCCTGTGTGCAATCTCAGTGCAAACATTTTACAGGTGTGCACTATCAGCTAGCAAACATACTCCAGTGTGAACTCTCAGTATCTAAAACATTCCTCCAGTGTGCACTATACAGTAGCATACATACTCAGTGTGCACTCTCTAGTAGCAAACATACCGCCAGTGTGCGTGCTCTTCGTAAAGGCAAACAACCTCAGTTTTTGCTCTTCAGTAGCAAAACAACCTCCAGTGTGCCATCAGTAGCTAATCCATACATACTGTGTGACAATTCCAGTAGGCATACCTCCAGTGTGCACTCTCAGCTAGCAAAACATAACTCCAGTGTTGCACAATCTCGTAGCAAAAACCTACAGTGTGCACACTGCAGTAGAAACATACCGCCAGTGTTGCACTCTCTGTAGCAAACATACCTCCTGTGATGCATCTCAGTAGCAAACATTACTACAGCATGCCACTCTCGACTCAAACCATACCTCCAGTGTTGCACTTATAAGTAGCAAACATATATCCTGTGTGCACTCTTCAGTAGCAATCACACTCCTTGTGGATTGCACTCTCAGTTGCACACACCTCCCAGTGTGCATCATGAGTAGGCAACATACCTCCCTGTGTGCACTCATCGTAGCTTTTAACACCTCCAGGTGCACTCTATGTAGCAAACATACCTCCAGTGTGCACGATCGTTGCAAAACATTCCTCCAGTGTGCACTTCTGTTGCATTCCTACAGTGTGCTCTCTCAGTAAGCAAATACCTCCGTGTGCACATCAGTAAGCAAACACACATCCATGTGCACTCTCAGTAGCAAAAATACCTCAATGTGCCATCTCAGTAGCAAACACACCTCCAATGTGCACTCTCAGTAGCAAACACACCTCCAATGTGCACTCTCAGTAGCAAACATACCTCCAATGTGCACTCTCAGTAGCAAACATACCTCCAATGTGCACTCACAGTAGCAAACATACCTCCAATGTGCACTCTCAGTAGCAAACATACCTCCAATGTGCACTCTCAGTAGCAAACACACTTCCAACATGCACTCTCAGTAGCAAACATACCTCCAATGTGCACTCTCAATAGCAAACATACCTCCAATGTGCACTCTCAGTAGCAAACATACCTCCAATGTGCACTCTCAGTAGCAAACACACCTCCAACATGCACTCTCAGCAAACATACCTCCAATGTGCACTCTCAGTAGCAAACATACCTCCAACATGCACTCTCAGTAGCAAACATACCTCCAATGTGCACTCTCAATAGCAAACATACCTCCAATGTGCACTCTCAACAGCAAACATACCTCCAATGTGCACTCTCAGTAGCAAACATACCTCCAATGTGCACTCTCAGTAGAAAACACACCTCCAACATGCACTCTCAGTAGCAAACACACCTCCAGTGTGCACTCAGTGCAAATACACCTACATTGTGCACTCTCAGTAGCAAACACACCTCCAGCATGCACTCTCAGTAGCAAACACGTCTCCAGTATGCACTCTCAGTAACAAACACACTTCCAGCATGCACTCTCAGTAGCAAACACATCTCCAGCATGCACTCTCAATAGCAAACACACCTCCAGCATGCACTCTCAGCAGCACACACACCTCCAGCATGCACTCTCAATAGCAAACACACCTCCAGCATGCACTCTCAATAGCATAAACCGAGTAGCAGACACCTCCAGCATACTGAGTAGCAAACACCTTCAGCATACACTCAGTAGGAAGCACCTCCAGCATACTTAGTAGCAAACACCTCCAGCATACTGAGTAGCAAACACCTCCAGCATACTTAGTAGCAAACACCTCCAGCATACTGAGTAGCAAACACCTCCAGCATACTGAGTAGCAAACACCTCCAGCATACTGAGTAGCAAACACCTCCAGCATACTGAGTAGCAAACACCTCCACCATACTGAGTAGCAAACACCTCCAGCATACTGAGTAGCAAACACCTCCACCATACTGAGTAGCAAACACCTCCAGCATACTGAGTAGCAAACACCTCCAGCATACTGAGTAGCAAACACCTCCAGCATACTGAGTAGCAAACACCTCCAGCATACTGAGTAGCAAACTCCTCCAGCATACTGAGTAGCAAACACCTCCAGCATACTGAGTAGCAAACACCTCAGGCATACTGAGTAGCAAACACCTCCAGCATACTGAGTAGCAAACACCTCCAGCATACTGAGTAGCAAACACCTCCAGCATACTGAGTAGCAAACTCCTCCAGCATACTGAGTAGCAAACACCTCCAGCATACTGAGTAGCAAACACCTCAGGCATACAGAGTAGCAAACACCTCCAGCATACTTAGTAGCAAACACCTCCATCATACTGAGTAGCAAACACCTCCAGCATACTGAGTAGCAAACACCTCCAGCATACTGAGTAGCAAACACCTCCAGCATACTGAGTAGCAAACACCTCCAGCATACTGAGTAGCAAACACCTCCAGCATACTGAGTAGCAAACACCTCCAGCATACTGAGTAGCAAACACCTCCAGCATAGTGAATGTCAAACACCTCCAGCATACTGAGTAGCAAACACCTCCAGCATACTGAGTAGCAAACACCTCCAGCATACTGAGTAGCAAACAGCTCCAGCATACTGAGTGGCAAACACCTCCAGGATACACTCAGTAGCAAACACCTCCAGCATACATTCAATAGCAAACAGCTCCAGCATACTGAGTAGCAAACAGCTCCAGCATACTGAGTGGCAAACACCTCCAGCATACACTCAGTAGCAAACACCTCCAGCATACTGAGTGGCAAACACCTCCAGCATACTGAGTGGCAAACACCTCCAGCATACACTCAGTAGCAAACACCTCCAGCATACTGAGTGGCAAACACCTCCAGCATACTGAGTGGCAAACACCTCCAGGATACACTCAGTAGCAAACACCTCCAGCATACACTCAGTAGCAAACACCTCCAGCATACACTCAGCAGCAAACACCTCCAGCATACTCAGTAGCAAACACCTCCAGCATACACTTTGTATCACTAAACCCACATGGGTCATATGTTACCTTCATGGAGAGGGGAAATGCTGAACCAATCATATATTAATCATGGGGGAAGCCCTAAACCTGTAAGGTCATACAGTTCTTGGGGAAATGGGTAGCACTCAAGTTTATTTTGAAGTTAGGATAGGACCTAAACAGAAAAACAAAAGCTTTTCTTTTTAAATTTAGTAATGTATACAGAAGAGGTTACTAGCCTCTTGCTCTCGGCATTTTAATCTCTTACAAGAGGCAGGGCTTATGGAGGAAGAATTCTTTTCCACTTCCCCACGATTCTCTTATTTTTGTTCTTACAAATCTTGCTGCTGAAAAATCCCACTTAACCAGGACATGAATTTGATTATCTGTAAATTTATTATTATAATCGTGGGGGAGTGCTAAACCCGTAGGATTATACAGCGCATGTGGGAGGGGGTATGAAGATGGAAGGTATTCAGGCTCAATTCAGGGAACTAGAGCACAGATCCAATTCCCCAGATCAAGAGCCTCTCACCAGCATCAAGGAGCCTCCCTTGGGAGAATTATCTGTAAATATTAGTTTTATAACTGGGTGGACATTTTCAAATTTATGTAATGCAATAAGTACCTTACCTGGAAAACTTGCATCTTGCTCCAGTCTGTGTAATTCATAAATAAAATTATATGCATGGGGGAGCACTAAGCTCATACAGTGCCTGGGAAATGAGTAATCAGGTTTAATCCGAGGAAAGAGAAACTCCAATTCCTCACGTCAACAGCCTTTCACAGGCATCAGGGGCCCAACTGATGGATCGTAAATAGTAAAACTGAAGTATCAGCCTCTGTTTCAGGTTCTTCTTCACATGGTGTACAGGAGAAAAAATGAACCATTCCACAGGAAATAGAGTGTATTTTATATCACTTTTATATAAACACCTTTGTCTTCTACTCTTAAACCACTGTTGTTTGCCCCATTATCTCATGAAACCACAACCACTGCTCAATTGCCATGATGAACCGACTGGTATCAATGAAAGAAAATATTACTGAATAAGAAAACAAATTTGTAAAACCTTAAAAGTTGTGAAGAAGTTTTTGTAAGTGATAATGGGTTTAAAAACTCAAGTTGTCTTTGCCAGTAGCCAACCTGGACAAATAATTATGCAAAATCTATACACAACAACATCAATGAATGCTGACCAATCACAGTTTTTAATGAGGCACAATTTCTCAAGTAGTCTGTATAGGAAAATTAGGCTTTCTGAAACTGATGCAGTGGTACAAATCCATTGATATTCTTGCATACAGTAGTTAACACCGCTGTAAATAACAACAGTAAATCTGTAAATTCTTATTTCCAACATGATGTTCCAAATCAACCAGGAAAAGTGGCCAGTTTCCAGATACACTGCATACCTCTGTAGGGATGTCAAGGACAGTATAAAAATATCATTTACACTGTATAAAAAGTCTACAACGACTGTACACTATCTACATGATTCCTACGCCATTAGCTGGACACTTAGATGTCTGAGGGCTTCCATAAGTCTGTCAGCTGCATCTTTGCCTTGAGCAATTGACCGACTTCTTGTACACATAAATCCCCTACTTTAAAGCTGAACTTATAGAAAACCAAAATTATATTCATGCATAAATACATGTAAGGAATGAATTTCTTGTATACTAACTTAAGATAAAATGATTCTCATACATCTGAGCGAATGGCAGTCGTATGCTTTTACAACCAGTAAATATGATTATGTGAATGTTACAGTAAGCTGTTGATTTCTTGATGTGTAATAAAAACTATAACTTAATACACACATTAGGCAAGATTATCAGTATTTACCAGATACTAGCAATAGGTATGCATAGAAGCTAATCAAAGCACACCAAAATTTCTAGTATTTCACAGGCATTCTTGGAAAAATATTTAACACCTTAAACATATGCATAACCAGAAGAAAAGCACCAAGAGGACAAAAATAAAGGCATGTGCCCAGGGGCAACATATCTTTAAAATATCTGCCAATTACAATTTTCTTCAGAACACAGTCTAGGTAAATGTGATTTATTTCTAGGATGGTGTTCAACTGTTAACTGGGCTGGGCCAAGTGGAGCCACTCCTAATAGTGGAGGGATATGCGCTTCACACGTTGTAGTGCTCTTCCCTGAACTATTAGTGGCGCTGGTATTGTTGTTACTATTGGTATTAGTGCTGGATGTGGTACTGCTGCTGCTTACAACACAACTGCTGCCATCCAACACTGGAAAAGCAAAAGTTCAAACAATTTACACCTTGTTACAATAAAGATCTGGAACTTAATCAGTTACTATAGGAAACAAAAGTCTTATGCTTTTTTTTTTTTTTCAACAAGTCGGTCGTCTCCCACCGAGGCAGGGTGACCCAAATAAGAAAGAAAATCCCCAAAAAGAAAATACTTTCATCATCATTCAACACTTTCACCACACTCACACATAATCACTGCTTTTGCAGAGGTGCTCAGAATACAACAGTTTAGAAGCATATACGTATAAAGATACACAACATATCCCTCCAAACTGCCAATATCCCAAACCCCTCCTTTAAAGTGCAGGCACTGTACTTCCCATTTCCAGGACTCAAGTCCGACTATATGACAATAACCGGTTTCCCTGAATCCCTTCACTAAATATTACCCTGCTCACACTCCAACAGATCGTCAGGTCCCAAGTATCATTCGTCTCCATTCACTCCTATCTAACACGCTCATGCACGCTTGCTGGAAGTCCAAGCCCCTCGCCCACAAAACCTCCTTTACCCCCTCTTTCCAACCCTTTCGAAGACGACCCCTACCCCTCTTTCCTTCCCCTATAGATTTATATGCTTTCCATGTCATTCAACTTTGATCCATTCTCTCTAAATGACCAAACCATCTCAACAACCCCTCTTCTGCCCTCTGACTAATGCTTTTATTAACTCCACACCTCCCAATTTCCACACTCTGAATTTTCTGCATAATATTTACACCACACATTGCCCTTAGACAGGACATCTCCACTGCCTCCAACCGTCTCCTCGCTGCTGCATTTACCACCCAAGCTTCACATCCATATAAGTGTTGGTACTACTATACTTTCATACATTCCCTTCTTTGCCTCCATAGATAACGCTTTTTGACTCCACATATACCTCAACGCACCACTCACCTTTTTTCCCTCATCAATTCTATGATTAACCTCATCCTTCATAAATCCATCCGCCGACACGTCAACTCCCAAGTATCTGAAAACATTCACTTCTTCCATACTCCTCCTCCCCAATTTGATATCCAATTTTTCTTTATCTAAATCATTTGATACCCTCATCACCTTACTCTTTTCTATGTTCACTTTCAACTTTCTACCTTTACACACATTCTCAAACTCATCCACTAACCTTCGCAATTTTTCTTTAGAATCTCCCATAAGCACAGTATCATCAGCAAAAAGTAACTGTGTCAATTCCCATTTTGAATTTGATTTCCCATAATTTAAACCCAACCCCTCTCCCGAACACCCTAGCATTTACTTCTTTTACAACCCCATCTATAAATATATTAAACAACCATGGTGACATTACACATCCCTGTCTAATGTTTAATGCAAAATCATGGTGAATAATATTTTTTTTTTTTTTACATAAATTTTATAGGCTAAGAGCTGCTATCCTGCCTCAGCTCATTTCAAAGCCCAGCTCTATCTGAGCTATACTACCTCCCCCAGGATGCCACCAACACCAGTCAGCTAACACTCAGGTACCTACTTACTGCTAGGTGAACAGGGGCAGGCAGAAGGAAACACGAAACATGACCAATGTTTTCGGCAGTATTTTTGAGACAAAGATATTTATATAAACTCGAACTAGTCTTGATGTACAGTAAAGTCTTGATTAAGGAAAATCAAATTGTACAATTTTTTATGAAGGCTATTGAAAAAGAACAACCAAACATTCATTGTGAGATATAATGACTTGCATTACCAGTCTTCAATCATGAGATCCAGAATAGTATCAAAGGGGAAGTGGAAAAGAATTCTTCCTTCATAAGCCATGTGCGTCATAAGAGGCGACTAGAATGCCGGGAGCAAGGGACTAGTAACCCCTCCCCTGTATAAATTACTAAATTTAAAAAAAACTTTCGCTTTTCTTTTTAAGTCCCCCTGCCTTGGTGAGATGTGTAATTCTTCTGCGGTTAGAATCGTATATATGTTTTTTTTTTTCAACAAGTCGGCCGTCTCCCACCGAGGCAGGGTGACCCAAAAAGAAAGAAAATCTCCAAAAAGAAAATACTTTCATCATCATTCAACACTTTCACCACACTCACACATAATCACTGTTTTTGCAGAGGTGCTCAGAACACAACAGTTTAGAAGCATATACATATAAAGATACACAACATATCCCTCCAAACTGCTAATATCCCAAAACCCCTCCTTTAGAGTGCAGGCATTGTACTTCCCATTTCTAGGACTCAAGTCCGGCTATATAAAAATAACCGGTTTCCCTGAATCCCTTCACTAAATATTACCCTGCTCACACTTCAACAGATCGTCAGGTCCCAAATACCATTCGTCTCGGTGGGAGACGGCCGACTTGTTGAAAAAAAAAAAAAAAACATATATACGATTCTAACCGTAGAAGAATTACATATGAGGTCGATTCCCATGAAGGAAAGAGGTAGATGAAAGAAAAGAATAAAGAAGAATAGCTTGCAGGTAAAGTTAACACTGACGGAGTTAAATAAGCAATTCAAAGTTAGAAGTAAAGTTGCAGAATGAGACACTAAAACAACATTTTGGAGTCTTTAGTCCAATACAGAGGAGAAAGGTATTGGACTGAAGAAGCCACTGCCTGTCAAAACTACTACTTCTTGTTGATTCACCGGTACTGTCCCAGCCCAGGTCTTTTTCAGATGGTGACCTGGCATGGCCCCCGGGTGAGAGCTGTTGCTCGTCATCTTTATTCTGTGCTGTGTGGACATCTTGTGGTCCCTCTGCCTAGAGGGTGTCATCTTCTTCAATCCAGAGATGGCTCCCCAGGGTGGAGAGTGTCTGTAGTCATCTTCGTTAGTGGCTGGCAAAATATTTCCTCAATAAAGATTCCAAAATGTTGCAAAAGTGTCTAATTCTTCAACTTGATGAAGAGGACCCTGACTTATCAAGAATAATTTCTTTAAAGCAGATGATAACACCTGATTGCCAGCTTTATAAATTACTGAGGAGTACTTTATAGAGATGTATTATAGAAACACTTGAGCACTTCGGCACATCCAATAACTACTCACAACTTTACATTCACATCAACACAATAACCACAGTCACCCACCTCATCCAAAGTACAGCCACATTAATCTTCTCCACACATTTCCATATCAACAAGTAGTTATTATATTATCACACTGGCCGATTCCCACCAAGGCAGGGTGGCCCGAAAAAGAAAAACTTTCACCATCATTCACTCCATCACTGTCTTGCCAGAAGGGTGCTTTACACTACAGTTTTTAAACTGCAACATTAACACCCCTCCTTCAGAGTGCAGGCACTGTACTTCCCATCTCCAGGACTCAAGTCCAGCCTGCCGGTTTCCCTGAACCCCTTCATAAATGTTACTTTGCTCACACTCCAACAGCATGTCAAGTATTAAAAACCATTTGTCTCCATTCACTCCTATCAAACAGCTCACGCATGCCTGCTGGAAGTCCAAGCCTCTCGCACACAAAACCTCCTTTACCCCCTCTCTCCAACCTTCCTAGGCCGACCCCTACCCCGCCTTCCTTCCACTACAGACTGATACACTCTTGAAGTCATTCTGTTTCGCTCCATTCTCTCTACATGTCCGAACCACCTCAACAACCCTTCCTCAGCCCTCTGGACAACAGTTTTGGTAATCCCGCACCTCCTCCTAACTTCCAAACTACGACTTCTCTGCATTATATTCACACCCACACATTGCCCTCAGACATGACATCTCCACTGCCTCCAGCTTCTCCTCGCTGCAACATTCATCACCCATGCTTCACACCCATATAAGAGCGTGGTAAAACTATACTCTCATACATTCCCCTCTTTGCCTCCAAGGACAAAGTTCTTTGTCTCCACAGACTCCTAAGTGCACCACTCACTCTTTTCCCCTCATCAATCTATGATTCACCTCATCTTTCATAGACCCATCCGCTGACACTCACTCCCAAATATCTGAATACATTCACCTCCTCCATACTCTTCCCTCCAATCTGATATTCAATCTTCATCACCTAATCTTTTTGTTATCCTCATAACCTTACTCTTTCCTGTATTCACCTTTAATTTCTTCTTTTGCACACCCTACCAAATTCATCCACCAATCTCTGCAACTTCTCTTCAGAATCTCCCAAGAGCACAGTGTCATCAGCAAAGAGCAGCTGTGACAACTCCCACTTTGTGTGATTCTTTATCTTTTAACTCCACGCCTCTTGCCAAGACCCTCGCATTTACTTCTCTTACAACCCCATCTATAAATATATTAAACAACCACGGTGACATCACACATCCTTGTCTAAGGCCTACTTTTACTGGGAAATAAATTTCCCTCTTTCCTACATACTCTAACTTGAGCCTCACTATCCTCGTAAAAACTCTTCACTGCTTTCATAACCTACCCCTACACAATACACTTGCAACATCTGCCACATTGCCCCCCTATCCACCCTGCATACGCCTTTTCCAAATCCATAAATGCCACAAAGACCTCTTTAGCCTTATCTAAATACTGTTCACTTATATGTTTCACTGTAAACACCTGGTCCACACATCCCCTACCTTTCCTAAAGCCTCCTTGTTCATCTGCTATCCTATTCTCCGTCTTACTCTTAATTCTTTAAATAATAACTCTACCATACACTTTACCGGGTATACTCAGCAGACTTATCCCCCTATAATTTTTGCACTCTCTTTTATCCCCTTTGCCTTTATACAAAGGAACTATGCATGCTCTCTGCCAATCCCTAGGTACCTTACCCTCTTCCATACATTTATTAAATAATTGCACCAACCACTCCAAAACTATATCCCCACCTGCTTTAAACATTTCTATCTTTATCCCATCAATCCCGGCTGCCTTACCCCCTTTCATTTTACCTACTGCCTCACGAACTTCCCCCACACTCACAACTGGCTCTTCCTCACTCCTACAAGATGTTATTCCTCCTTGTCCTATACACGAAATCACAGCTTCCCTATCTTCATCAACATTTAACAATTCCTCAAAATATTCCCTCCATCTTCCCAATACCTCTAAACTCTCCATTTAATAACTCTCCTCTCCTATTTTTAACTGACAAATCCATTTGTTCTCTAGGCTTTCTTAACTTGTTAATCTCACTCCAAAACTTTTTCTTATTTTCAACAAAATTTGTTGATAACATCTCACCCACTCTCTCATTTGCTCTCTTTTTACATTGCTTCACCACTCTCTTAACCTCTCTCTTTTTCTCCATATACTCTTCCCTCCTTGCATCACTTCTACTTTGTAAAAGCTTCTCATATGCTAACTTTTTCTCCCTTACTACTCTCTTTACATCATCATTCCACCAATCGCTCCTCTTCCCTCCCGCACCCACTTTCCTGTAACCACAAACTTCTGCTGAACACTCTAACACTACATTTTTAAACCTACCCCATACCTCTTCGACCCCATTGCCTATGCTCTCATTAGCCCATCTATCCTCCAATAGCTGTTTATATCTTACCCTAACTGCCTCCTCTTTTAGTTTATAAACCTTCACCTCTCTCTTCCCTGATGCTTCTATTCTCCTTGTATCCCATCTACCTTTTACTCTCAGTGTAGCTACAACTAGAAAGTGATCTGATATATCTGTGGCCCCTCTATAAACATGTACATCCTGAAGTCTACTCAACAGTCTTTTATCTACCAATACATAATCCAACAAACTACTGTCATTTCGCCCTACATCATATCTTGTATACTTATTTATCCTCTTTTTCTTAAAATATGTATTACCTATAACTAAACCCTTTCTATACAAAGTTCAATCAAAGGGCTCTCATTATCATTTACACCCGGCACCCCAAACTTACCTACCACACCCTCTCTAAAAGTTTCTCCTACTTTAGCATTCAGGTCCCCTACCACAATTACTCTCTCACTTGTTCAAAGGCTCCTATACATTCACTTAACATCTCCCAAAATCTCTCTCTCTCCTCTGCATTCCTCTCTTCTCCAGGTGCATACACGCTTATTATGACCCACTTCTCGCATCCAACCTTTACTTAATCCACATAATTCTTGAATTTACACATTCATATTCTCTTTTCTCCTTCCATAATTGATCATTTAACATATACTGCTACCCCTTCCTTTGCTCTAACTCTCTCAGATACTCCAGATTTAATCCCATTTATTTCCCCCACTGAAACTCCCCTACCCCCTTCAGCTTTGTTTCGCTTAGGGCCAGGACATCCAACTTCTTTTCATTCATAACATCAGCAATCATCTGTTTCTTGTCATCCGCACTACATCCAAGCACATTTAAGCATCCCAGTTTTATAAAGTTTTTCTTCTTCTCTTTTTTAGTAAATGTCTACAGGAGAAGGGGTTACTAGCCCATTGCTCCTGGCATTTTAGTCGCCTCATACGACACGCATGGCTTACGGAGGAAAGATTCTTTTCCACTTCCCCATGGACAATAGAAGAAATAAAGAAGAACAAGAGCTATTTAGAAAAAGGAGAAAAACCTAGATGTATGTATATATATATGCATGTGCGTATCTGTGAAGTGTGACCAAAGTGTAAGTAGGAGTAGCAACTAGAATATAAGGCAAGATAAACTGCAATAAATCGTTTTTAAACATGCTAGCTACCTTCCACAGAGGCAGGGAGACCCAAAAAAGAAGCACTTTCACCATTATTCACACTATTACTGTCTTGCCAAAGGCATGCAGATAGAACAGTTCAGATGTCCCTGTAGTAATGTGTACCCATTAAAAAAAAAAACTGCTTGGCAAATCTGGAGATGTCTGGAACACAAACCTATTTTTCCCATACATTCTTCACTTCATTCAATGCAACTTTAATTTTAAGTGTTCATACTCAAGGGTTTAGTGCACTCTTTTGCACTCCTTCGAGTTGCACTTAGTTGTTTTAATATGAGAGGGCTCCACACTGGCACCACCTATTTTTTTTGCATGGTAAATTCAGTTCATGTAAAAACTCAAACTGATACTAACATTAACTGCAACTAACCTGAGGGTGGTATCGATGTGGAATTAACTTCATTAACTTTCTTCTGGGCTATCGCTTTTAATGATACCGTGGTATCGGCAGCATTCTGAAAAACATTTTTAACATTTTAAAATGGCCAATACACGTACAATGTTAACAATGCACATCAAATATTCAACATGTTAATTACATCTAAAAGCACTAGTGGGGCTATGAGGCAGGGGAAAGGGCTGGTGTGCTCTCTTTCCACAAGTACTTTTAACAAAGTATGTACAGCCTCTCCTCATTTAGCGACGTATTTGTTTACCGACCACTCAGACTTACGACCAGCTCTCCAACCAGTATGAAAACCTAAGTGATGTATATTAGAGCTGACTACCTCTATTCTGTTTATTACAGTATACAGTATACTACTGTCTCTAAACACTTCAAAATATACTAAAAAATTTTTAAATGGTGAAAAGGTCACATTAAAAAAATATCTAAAGATGGTTGACACAAACCCACTACCAGTATAGTATGCCCCTTGCTTAACTCTTTGAGGGTCGACAGGCCCTCTCCAAGACTCGTTCTCAGGGTCAGCCAAATTAAAAAAAAAAAAAAAAAAAAAAAAAAAAAAAAAAAAAAAAAAAAAAAAAAAAAAAATCCTATGAAAAGATAGAGAATCTTTTCCCGATCATATTGACACCAAAAGTATGAAATTTGATGGAAAACTTACGGTATTATGCTCTCGCGAAGTTAGCGGTCTCAACGATGTTTATGCATCGGCGATTTTGCCCACTTTGAGCCCTATTTTCGGCCAATTCCAGTGTACTAGTCAACAAAAATCATAACTATTTCTCTAGAACTCTATTTTTTCTATTGAATGAGTACAAGAAACCACCCATTTACTGATTTCAACTATCCAATAAAGTGGTCAGAATTTAGCAATTTTGCCAATTTCACACAAATTTCAAAAGATGCCAATTTCCAAATAGGGTCCAGAATAAACAAGAAAGACATTCCTGGCACTAAAATAACATTTCCTCTGTTTGTTAGTCACATCCCCAGGCCCCTCTTATATTTCTTTGGCTTTCCAATTTCAATTTTTATTCTTACAAAAAATAGAAGATTTACTGTTATGCAGACTGCTGCATTAGTGTAGAAATGGTATAAATAATATCAGCGCACTTGTGAGAGAATATTAGACTCACCAGTTGACGTGTATTGGACGCTTGGCATGATTTGTTTACTTTTGAACTTCGGTAAAAATCGAACATTTCTGCTACTTTGAGCTCAATTTCAAGGTACTTTTCATTGTAAAACCAGTCAAAATCATCTCAATTTCTGTAATATGTCTTCCATTCTATAAAATGAGGCCAAGAAAACTAGAATACAACAATAAATACCATACGAAAATACAGTGCAAAGTCGCTGTTTTATTCCAAAAAACACGGTCAAAGTTTTTTTTTCTCATTATGCAATGTTTGCTGCAGGATTTTTTTTATACTGCACACACTGACCACATAGACCCATTCTTTTATATGTATGCCTACCAGCTTTCTCCCACTAGATCTGAGGGTGCTAGAATTTAGGCGTACTAGTACGTCAAAAACCCTGGGTCGTAAGCTGTACTAGTACAGCCGAAACCCTCAAAGGGTTAATGACCAATTCACTTACCAACCTATTCTTAGGAACAGAAACCTGCCGTTAAGTGAGGAGAGGCTGTACTTTTTATTTGGTGGAATCAAAGCAGAATAGTCCATAAAACCATGTGGGAAAATGGAACAGCTTTGAAGCTTATGTCTTGATAAGAGTTAAAAGCTTTGGCTACACCACGCAGCATAATTATAACAATATGATTGGAGTAATGAAAAAAATAGCATTTTATACTTAGGAAGGTCACGTACCATAGATGTGTGCCCTGTGTGGGCAGATGGTGCTGACGGAGTTGGCGCTCCAGATGGTAGCGCTGGAGTCGTAGTCGCACTGCCAGCTAGACTGCCCTGCGGAGAAGTTACGCTGACACTGCTGCTAACTCCACTGCTGAGACCATTACTGCTGCTGCTACTACTGCTACTCCCGCTACCTATACTGTTTGATACAGAGTTGCCACTGCTACTGCTGCTGTTGCTGCAACTGCTACTACTGCTGCTGCTACTGCTGCTGCCACTTCCGCTATTACTATTCACAATACTGCTGTTCATCAATCCACTTGGTTCTGGCGAATGTCTCCCTGTAACACAAAAATATTAAATTAAAATCTAAAATAATACACAGTAACCACACACATTAGCACAAATTTAACATAAATGAAAATGACTGTTTTCCTTTGTATTTATTAGGGACTTGGGCTATTTAGGCTGGGGTAGAGCAACCACTCGTATCTCAGCTTTCATCACTGCTGGAGTAGAGCAACCACTCTTATCTCAGCTTTCATCACTGCTGGAGTAGAGCAACCACTCTTATCTCAGCTTTCATCACTGCTGGAGTAGAGCAACCACTCGTATCTCAGCTTTCATCACTGCTGGAGTAGAAGCAACCACTCGTATCTCAGCTTTCATCAACTGCTGGAGTAGAGCAACCACTCGTATCTCAGCTTTCATCACTGCTGGAGTAGAGCAACCACTCGTATCTCAGCTTTCATCACTGCTGGAGTAGAGCAACACTCGTATCTCAGCTTTCATCACTGCTGGAGTAGAGCAACCACTTGTATCTCAGCTTTCATCACTGCTGGAGTAGAGCAACCACTCGTATCTCAGCTTTCATCACTGCTGGAGTAGAGCAACCACTCGTATCTCAGCCTTCATCACTGCTGGAGTAGAGCAACCACTCGTATCTCAGCTTTCATCACTGCTGGAGTAGAGGCAACCACTTGTATCTCAGCTTTCATCACTGCTGGAGTAGAGCAACCACTTGTATCTCAGCTTTCATCACTGCTGGAGTAGAGCAACACTTGTATCTCAGCTTTCATCACTGCTGGAGTAGAGCAACCACTCTTATCTCAGCTTTCATCACTGTGGAGTAGAGCAACCACTTGTATCTCAGCTTTCATCACTGCTGGAGTAGAGCAACCACTCGTATCTCAGCTTTCATCACTGCTGGAGTAGAGCAACCACTTGTATCTCAGCTTTCATCACTGCTGGAGTAGAGCAACCACTCGTATCTCAGCTTTCATCACTGCTGGAGTAGAGCAACCACTCGTATCTCAGCTTTCATCACTGCTGGAGTAGAGCAACCACTTGTATCTCAGCTTTCATCACTGCTGGAGTAGAGCAACCACTTATATCTCAGCTTTCATCACTGCTGGAGTAGAGCAACCACTCTTATCTCAGCTTTCATCACTGCTGGAGTAGAGCAACCACTTGTATCTCAGCTTTCATCACTGCTGGAGTAGAGCAACCACTCGTATCTCAGCTTTCATCACTGCTGGAGTAGAGCAACCACTTGTATCTCAGCTTTCATCACTGCTGGAGTAGAGCAACACTCGTATCTCAGCTTTCATCACTGCTGGAGTAGAGCAACCACTCGTATCTCAGCTTTCATCACTGCTGGAGTAGAGCAACCACTTGTATCTCAGCTTTCATCACTGCTGGAGTAGAGCAACCACTCGTATCTCAGCTTTCATCACTGCTGGAGTAGAGCAACCACTCGTATCTCAGCTTTCATCACTGCTGGAAGTAGAGCAACCACTCGTATCTCAGCTTTCATCACTGCTGGAGTAGAGCAACCACTCGTATCTCAGCTTTCATCACTGCTGGAGTAGAGCAACCCACTCGTATCTCAGCTTTCATCACTGCTGGAGTAAGAGCAACCACTCGTATCTCAGCTTTCATCACTGCTGGAGTAGAGCAACCACTCGTATCTCAGCTTTCATCACTGCTGGAGTAGAGCAACCACTTGTATCTCAGCTTTCATCACTGCTGGAGTAGAGCAACCACTTGTATCTCAGCTTTCATCACTGCTGGAGTAGAGCAACCACTCGTATCTCAGCTTTCATCACTGCTGGAGTAGAGCAACCACTTGTATCTCAGCTTCATCACTGCTGGAGTAGAGCAACCACTCGTATCTCAGCTTTCATCACTGCTGGAGTAGAGCAACCACTCTTATCTCAGCTTTCATCACTGCTGGAGTAGAGCAACCACTCTTATCTCAGCTTTCATCACTGCTGGAGTAGAGCAACCACTCGTATCTCAGCTTTCATCACTGCTGGAGTAGAGCAACCACTCGTATCTCAGCTTTCATCACTGCTGGAGTAGAGCAACCACTCGTATCTCAGCTTTCATCACTGCTGGAGTAGAGCAACCACTCTATCTCAGCTTTCATCACTGCTGGAGTAGAGCAACCACTCGTATCTCAGCTTTCATCACTGGCTGGATTAGAGCAACCACTCGTATCTCAGCTTTCATCACTGCTGGAGTAGAGCAACCACTCGTATCTCAGCTTTCATCACTGCTGGAGTAGAGCAACCACTCGTATCTCAACTTTCATCACTGCTGGAGTAGAGCAACCACTCGTATCTCAGCTTTCATCACTGCTGGAGTAGAGCAACCACTCGTATCTCAGCGTTCATCACTGCTGGAGTAGAGCAACCATTCGTATCTCAGCTTTCATCACTGCTGGAGTAGAGCAACCACTCTTATCTCAGCTTTCATCACTGCTGGAGTAGAGCAACCACTCGTATCTCAGCTTTCATCACTGCTGGAGTAGAGCAACCACTCGTATCTCAGCTTTCATCACTGTGGAGTAGAGCAACCACTCGTATCTCAGCTTTCATCACTGCTGGAGTAGAGCAACCACTCGTATCTCAGCTTTCATCACTGCTGGAGTAGAGCAACCACTCGTATCTCAGCTTTCATCACTGCTGGAGTAGAGGCAACCACTCGTATCTCAGCTTTCATCACTGCTGGAGTAGAGCAACCACTCGTATCTCAGCTTTCATCACTGCTGGAGTAGAGCAACCACTCGTATCTCAGCTTTCATCACTGCTGGGAGTAGAGCAACCACTCGTATCTCAGCTTTCATCACTGCTGGAGTAGAGCAACCACTCGTATCTCAGCTTTCATCACTGCTGGAGTAGAGCAACCACTCGTATCTCAGCTTTCATCACTGCTGGAGTAGAGCAACCACTCGTATCTCAGCTTTCATCACTGCTGGAGTAGAGCAACCACTCGTATCTCAGCTTTCATCACTGCTGGAGTAGAGCAACCACTCGTATCTCAGCTTTCATCACTGCTGGAGTAGAGCAACCACTCGTATCTCAGCTTTCATCACTGCTGGAGTAGAGCAACCACTCGTATCTCAGCTTTCATCACTGCTGGAGTAGAGCAACCACTCGTATCTCAGCTTTCATCACTGCTGGAGTAGAGCAACCACTCGTATCTCAGCTTTCATCACTGCTGGAGTAGAGCAAACCACTCGTTATCTCAGCTTTCATCACTGCTGGAGTAGAGCAACCACTCTTATCTCAGCTTTCATCACTGCTGGAGTAGAGCAACCACTCGTATCTCAGCTTTCATCACTGTGGAGTAGAGCAACCACTCGTATCTCAGCTTTCATCACTGCTGGAGTAGAGAAAACCACTCGTATCTCAGCTTTCATCACTGCTGGAGTAGAGCAACCACTCGTATCTCAGCTTTCATCACTGCTGGAGTAGAGCAACCACTCGTATCTCAGCTTTCATCACTGCTGGAGTAGAGCAACCACTCGTATCTCAGCTTTCATCACTGCTGGAGTAGAGCAACGACTCGTATCTCAGCTTTCATCACTGCTGGAGTAGAGCAACCACTCGTATCTCAGCTTTCATCACTGCTGGAGTAGAACAACCACTCGTATCTCAGCTTTCATCACTGCTGGAGTAGAGCAACCACTCGTATCTCAGCTTTCATCACTGCTGGAGTAGGGGCAACCACTCGTATCTCAGCTTTCATCACTGCTGGAGTAGAGCAACCACTCGTATCTCAGCTTTCATCACTGCTGGAGTAGAGCAACCACTCGTATCTCAGCTTTCATCACTGCTGGAGTAGAGCAACCACTCGTATCTCAGCTTTCATCACTGCTGGAGTAGAGCAACCACTCGTATCTCAGCTTTCATCACTGCTGGAGTAGAGCAACCACTCGTATCTCAGCTTTCATCACTGCTGGAGTAGAGCAACCACTCGTATCTCAGCTTTCATCACTGCTGGAGTAGAGCAACCACTCGTATCTCAGCTTTCATCACTGCTGGAGTAGAGCAACCACTCGTATCTCAGCTTTCATCACTGCTGGAGTAGAGCAACCACTCGTATCTCAGCTTTCATCACTGCTGGAGTAGAGCAACCACTCGTATCTCAGCTTTCATCACTGCTGGAGTAGAGCAACCACTCGTATCTCAGCTTTCATCACTGCTGGAGTAGAGCAACCACTCGTATCTCAGCTTTCATCACTGCTGGAGTAGAGCAACCACTCGTATCTCAGCTTTCATCACTGCTGGAGTAGAGCAACCACTCGTATCTCAGCTTTCATCACTGCTGGAGTAGAGCAACCACTCGTATCTCAGCTTTCATCACTGCTGGAGTAGAGCAACCACTCGTATCTCAGCTTTCATCACTGCTGGAGTAGAGCAACCACTCGTATCTCAGCTTTCATCACTGCTGGAGTAGAGCAACCACTCGTATCTCAGCTTTCATCACTGCTGGAGTAGAGCAACCACTCGTATCTCAGCTTTCATCACTGCTGGAGTAGAGCAACCACTCGTATCTCAGCTTTCATCACTGCTGGAGTAGAGCAACTACTCGTATCTCAGCTTTCATCACTGCTGGAGTAGAGCAACCACTCGTATCTCAGCTTTCATCACTGCTGGAGTAGAGCAACCACCTCGTATCTCAGCTTTCATCACTGCTGGAGTAGAGCAACCACTCTTATCTCAGCTTTCAATCACTGCTGGAGTAGAGCAACCACTCGTATCTCAGCTTTCATCACTGCTGGAGTAGAGCAACCACTCGTATCTCAGCTTTCATCACTGCTGGAGTAGAGCAACCACTCGTATCTCAGCTTTCATCACTGCTGGAGTAGAGTAACCACTCGTATCTCAGCTTTCATCACTGCTGGAGTAGAGCAACCACTCGTATCTCAGCTTTCATCACTGCTGGAGTAGAGCAACCACTCGTATCTCAGCTTTCATCACTGCTGGAGTAGAGCAACCACTCGTATCTCAGCTTTCATCACTGCTGGAGTAGAGCAACCACTCGTATCTCA